CAAGACGCCCTGTCCCTTCTTTGACCCAGGCATCATTGAATGTAACCGAAATTCCAGAAAAGTTCCAGATAACGCTTGTTCAAAGAAGACTTGGCCAGCACCGGGAAAGACGAACCCAGACTATCGAAGCTGTAAGAAACCGTCATCAACTGTCAGAAACTATCAATTACGTCTCGTAAACCGTTAATGCCAGGCTCTTTCTACGCTGGGCCTCACGCTGTCCCTCGAGGCCTTTCAAAAACGCTTAGTACCAACGGATGCAAAAACCAGAACACAGATTGGCGACTCGAGAATTCTTTATTCTAACACCAACATATAACCAGCATTGTTAGCATTACAGACTAAGGTCTAAGAACAAATATTACAACAATAAATCACGATATTACTCCTGACAGTTTTTTCTAGCTTCTTTCTGAACAGCGACTGATGAGACGATGACTGGCTGATTGATCACCCGCGAAAATTATGGGGGTGTTGGGTTTGAGCAAACAACCATGAAATGATCGTTCAATCTGCAACTACATTGACAGATCTATTTCCAAACTAGGTGCTGAGTTTGTCAGCATATTTTTGCTGTCAGTTCTAGCCGCGTTAGATGGTACTGACAAGGTAGCTAGAAGCTTTCGACGAAGTGGCTTGTTGTGTGACCCACTGCCACATTTTGTATGAGGTATTTTGCTCGTTGTAGCAAGGAGATACGTGCTGTCAGTTATCAGGTTAATAGGTGGCTTCATCATGTGATTAACTGTAACCAATTAGCGGGAGAGTTAATGGTTGCAGGTATGCAACTAAAGGAAAATTTGTGTGAGACTTACAAAAAGTACAGATTATGAATAACGAATCACACTAAAATGTTGCACAGACGGTGGATATACCGCGAATGTAGTCTTGGCTTAGTTTGCATCCAGCTTAAAATTCACAACATCCTCTCTTACCCCTTCAACTTACGTACTTGAATAGCTCTGCTTACTGCACATTTTGATAGAAACAGCCAGAACTGTCATATTTATTTAGCATAATTAAGGTTGTACTAATGATGTTATATGTCTTTTTGTATGGTTCCGTTGTCTGCCTGGCGAGCCTAAACTCAAAATGTCCATGGTCCTCTCATACAAACCTAGATTGAAATACCACTATTAAAGAAATTTTGAGAGGAAAGAAAGATACTTGCTGGTTTCCAGGACAGCTAACCTGTCAAACTGCCGGAGAAGGGTAACTTAATATTCTGCGAAAACTGGTGTGGAATGGTGCTATTGTCTGTGACATGCAGAATTGCAGGTCACACAATTCTAGAGAAATTTAAAGGTGTGCTGGATGAAGAAGAGACTGGATTCAGCAAAATTAGATAGTGTGCTAACAAAATTGAAACGCTGCTTATCATCATCGAAAGAAGTAGAAAATGGCTGTCACATCTCCAACAGGTATATTTCATCGACTTAGATGTGACCTTCGACGACGACTTAATTTGGAATCTACCCGAACCTTGAGGGGAGCAGTGGTTCACACATTCGCTGGCCTCGTTCATCATCCAAATGATGATGTCACTTGTCAGGTGATTCGCAACGGTTAATTTAGTATAGCTTCTGAAGCTAGGAAAGGAATAATACGAGACTGCCTACTATCACCGATGATATTCCTTACTGTTGTAGACTGAATCATCCGGTAGACGTCGGGAGGCGAGTATATTGGGCATAAGTTAGATACACCAAAAGGCTTAGGAAATCTGTCTTTCTCAGATGACTTGTAATTACAAGCTGGAGCAAATAAGTTAGCAGAACAGGCATACCTTCAGGTTAACACAGTGAAAACAGGGATGATGAAGTTACCTACAGCATCAAACAGCATTCAGTTTAAGCGGAAGAAATCCGAAGCACTTGACAAGGCCATTCAAGGCCTTGAAGGCATTTTCCGAAACCAGTGTAGAAATCTGCTGCACTCGTGATGAGTGCCAATATTCAGATTTTTAACACTTATATGAAGTCAGCGTTACCATATGGTGAGAAGACCTAGTGCACCACTCACCATCACTACTTCCGATAGGTTGCAGACCTTCATTGATAGCTACCCTCGATGCGTACTCTAGATTAGATGTCCAGAAACGGTCAGAAACAAGAAACAGGCGATGGACTATTCAGGAACCTACGCACAACAAATATGCAGAACGCCCCTATCCTCAAAATAGGACCGTATCGGGAAACGATGAGTTGGGCATGTCTCCTACGACTATATGGGGATCACCATGTAGGGATGAAGTGAGTGCTAGTGGGCAATCTTGGAACCCGGTGAAGTGGGTGGCAGAGAACAGGACGGAATGTAGATGTACTGCTGAAGCTCCAAGTTCCTGTCAGGATATAAGGGATCATTTATGAAATAGTGATGATAATTGGATGAAAGCTGTTGAGAGTCAGAATTCTTTGCGATTAATACACCCTTGTGTGTCTCCGTCTGTAGTTCACAGAATTCCAAGAAGCAGAAATTGAAGCTTCCTTTTTTATGCGTAATAAGCGATTCTATGTTTTATGTGGCTGGCTAAGTAGTTTAAGAGGATGAGACATGCTATTATGTATAGCGAATGTGCCATCAAAATACATATTGTATAATGCAATCTTATTTGTAGCATGCCTTGAACTTGTCTACTCAAAGTATCTTAGGGAAGTATCCGCTTTAACACGGATCAGTTCTAAATGTAAAACTGATTGCCAAGGTTGGTGGAAAGCTGAATATCCATGAATGAATTCTACACCAATAAAACATTAGTTTTATAAATTCATAGATAATAGACAGAAACCAGTGGCCTGATGTTAAATCAGTGTTAGCTGAATTATGTATTGGTTTCTTCTTCAGAATGATAATAATAATTTACTTTACTCCAAAAACACTACTTGTGATACAGAATGGAATTTTCAGCATTAATCACAATATTGCATCTATTATCCTCAAATTAAAAATAAAAATTAATCACACAGAAAATTTTCCACATTTACAATACAGGTAGTGTCAAAAACATGCAGCATTTAAAATGGAAATAATAATAATGATAACAGCTAAGGTAATAATAATACAAGTGAAAATTGCCATGGGCTTGTTTCACACAGTATTGTCGATGCGGTATAGAAATCCTTTCATGTTTAGAAATATTGAATATAATGTCCTCTTTAGAAGATATGGTGAGGGGAAAACAAAGATTGCAGCAGTCATAAAGATAAGTTGGTGTTTGCAATTATGAGAGTAAAACAGAGAATTAACAGGACCATAAATATAATAGAAGTAATAAAAGTAAAACTTGAAGGTATGTAAGGATGGATGGAGGAAATTGTTTATTTACTAGATGAAAGAAGGTTAGCTAATTCTTGCCTGACACTATTTTCATCACATAAAATACATGCCAAGTATGGTATCATAGACTTCTTATACTTAGACGTACGAGCATACAGTTTTATGAAGTTACTCCTTGTTCTACCTGAGGAGATGCAAGGTGAGAGCTGAGGGTAAAGCGGATGCTCCAAGTCAGACAAAATCCCTTTAGCAAATTTATTGCACGAAGTCAAATGCCTATCGACAACGACGTTAACTATGTGGTCCACTGGGACACCACTCACTCTACTGACAGTCTTCAGTATTCTACGAATTGTGACATAGTCTTTTTTAGGCAAACCAGGAAAGAATAAGGGTGAGCAATAAAGAAGAATAGGTAGGATGCAAGAGTTTACGAACTGTAGGATGAGGGGTTGAGTTATACCCGAGTGTCTTAACTTCTTAATGTAAAATGTCAAGCGGAATATCTTACTGGAGATTGCTAAGACATGGGAAGACCAGGAGAGATCAGAAGAGAGAATGAGTCCAAGATACTTAATTTCTGATTTGATTCCTATATCATTGTAAGTCAACCAAGTATGCTCATTATTCGTTTCCTTGAGCCCCTTGCCTTGTTCACATCTCCAGGTGTAACACATAACGCGTGGCGTTTCGTAGTGTTACTTCTATCCGTTTCAGCATGCTTCGTAGTTATTTAGTAAGGCGACTTGTTTGGGCAGCAGCAATCATGAAACGCATATTTCACATCGGAACTTTAAAATTCAGTTCTCTATTTCCCAAGCTAATTAGTTTCGCTAATTGTGGTAGATGCAGTCGGAATATATTGCATCACTTGTATCAAAATTACAGATGGGCCGACGAAAAACAGATTAAAATTATGAAGTACCAAGAACTAATCCGCTGTTTAGTCGCTCGAATGTAACACGTAGTTCGAATCCTGAAAATGTTAACAATACTGTCTGAAATCAAAGGCTGCGCCAGTTGATGGTATTACTTCATAGATTTTTTGCCTCTTCTGGGTGCTGAAATTTATTGGAATTAGCCTAACTTTTATTTGTAAGCTTCCGAATTGTCACTGATTGGTAGAAGGCTAACAGAGTAGCCAAAGTGAGGCAGGACACGATATGCAAGCACCTATAATTACTACGCTAACTGCATTGGATATCGCATTAAGACAGAGGCATACGCAGTAGATAGACGAACATTCGCTACTGACAAGGAGTAAGCAAAATTTTCTGGCGATGAAGAGTTTCATTTTGAACTGTGCAAAACTTTATCTCTGATTTGCACATGGTGTAAAGAGATTAAATGTCCAGCCATGTAGAATCCTTCCTGTTTATGCGGCCGAAGTCGCTTGTCTAAACAAGAATTCAAGGCTTGCTTGTGGTCTAGGAGTGAATTCAGAGACTAAAAGGTTGTCGGCTGACTTTGCTGTTTGTTACTGAAATCTACAGCTGAACTCATATAAACTGCTTGAATCATTTTGTGGTACGTCGCCATTAAAGCCACTTTGTTTTCCGTTGAAAAATAAGTTTACCGATAAATCTCTCCTATGTCACTTTAAATTCATACCACAAACATTTCTCAAAAGGCTGTTGAGTGATTGTGAAAATATTCACATCACTCCGCTCAGTCTGCCAAAACTATGGGGAGTAAGTGGAGGAACCAAATACTTGGAAGCTCTCTAAAGATCGTAAACCACTACGTCACGATGAAAAAGGAATCTGCAAAAGATCATTTTGGTTCACACCAAATCGAAAATTTATCTAGAAGGTCATGAAAAGCGGAAGAACGACAGTCACGCTACACCCACGAGGAGGTACAAAACAAATTCTGATAGTCCTCACAAGTCTATCACCACTCTACTTGTAACTGAACAATGCCAGTTTATATGTATCCTGCAATCGCAGCACCTGGACATCGTTCTGTTGATTATGTCGCACAAGGTCAGCCAGAACCATCGTCCAATATTCAACAAGGTTCTGTTGTTATACCTGGAGAAATAGTATTCTCTTCAATCGCGAACCTTATTACTGGTCATGGAACCTACCGATCTGTTGTGAACACAGATGAAAACGCGGCAATTTCCGATCCACACACACCTAAAGGTGATGCAAACATCCCTGCCACCAATATACATACTTCCCTTACGGGACGTGTGAGAATTGTAAACAAACTTGTATATGTTGAACCACCGAAAGCACGGTATTTTGGAAATGTTGGGGATACTGTAGTTGGACGTATTGTGGAGGTGAGTTATTCGAAGAAGGATTGGTACCATCCCAACATTTCACTTGAAACGTAGCCATCATTTATATGTGAAATTTTTACTAATTAAAGATGGTGTTCAGTTGATTTAGTTGCAGATTAATATGGGAAGTAATTGGACCCGGTAAATACCGTTTTCTTGATACAGTTGTGATAATATCGATAAGATGATAGAGCGACAATGTCTACAAGACTCTTGAAGGATCTGCGGAATTGCAGCCACCACCAAAAGTGTGAAGGGACTAGTCAGACCTCCACATTTTGCTGCTAATCTGGTTTTATAATTTTGCTGAGTTTAGTGTTTTATTTAAGGATTCGATTGAGCTTAGGTTTAAAATAACTTTTGGGTTATACTATGAATAAGGGTTACGTTAAGGTCAAGTTTATGTTAGTATGAGGTTGGGTCTGGGTGTTGGAGTACTAATAAATCTATGACACATTACAAACTTTTCATTGTGGATTTTTGTTCATTGTCATTTAGTGAGTACTGTTTCCTAACATTACCAAATCTTGAGGTATCTAAATATCTATCGTGTCGAAGTGAATTCCAAAGTCGTGTCAGTCATCCAGATACGGTTCTATTCGACTGGCCGACCGGCTTCAACATAGAACTTTGTGTAAAAGTGCAGCAGTTCTAGTTGCCACACTCCATGTAGCACACAATGCAAAAGAAGGTAAAGTGAGGTGTAAAAAACAGATAATAGATAGAAGTGTGAGGGAAGAAGAGTAGTAATACGGGAGAACAGTAGAGTTTAATTAGATATAATAAATCAGAAAGATTGAGTGCTCTGTCATTGAGAACGATTTTGAGCGATATCACGAATTGTCTCCAGCCATTGGCCTTTACCATCCCGTGGACCCCGACTAACCAGGATGTCTACACCTCCCGGTGTGGCTCGAACTAAGTGTTATGAATTTCACTGACTGATGAAGCCAATTTTTGGTTTGTCCACCCCTAGCCAAGTTTTTTCCAACCTGATACTATGTCAGCAAACATTTCTCGTTGTCGAGGAAGGCGATGGTTAGGCATGTGTAACATATCTTTGATTCGGGTGATTTAGTACTGTAGGTTTTACAGTGTTCGTTGTTTTAGGAGTGGCTTTAGAACTACCAGAGCACATAAGACCGAGTAATTGTAGGAAGACACCGGTCAGTATTGATATCCTACTCCGGAGATATCTGAAGTCATTTAAAGGCAAAATTTGCCATTTAACATTTACAAACTAGTTGACGAAAAAGCTTTTAAGCAAACAGGAGTATTCTCATATCACCATTCTAAACGTAAACAGATCGCTCAGAGTAACCATTAGTACACGATAATTCACATATCTGAGGAGGTAGTTTGATAACTTCTGACGCTCACTGAATTTGTTATTCAACCAGCGGGACATGCTTACGACCCTGCTGCTCCTGCTGGGCTATAGGCGAAGAGGTGACATCATCGACACTCATACCTTCAAGCGTGGCTCATTGCCGATTGCATCAATATACTTACTTTACTTTACTTCGGCTATCTCCTACGGGAGGATGAGGCGGCTTCATGAACGTCTGGAATGTTTGTAAGAGAGTTCATGAAGTTTCATGGGAATTGGATACGAGTGATGTCCCCAGGATCGCTCGGCCTTTTGTTTAAGAGTGCAGCTCTAGCCTTTACACAACCAGGTGTGACCTACAAGGCAGTAGGAGTGGAGTAGGGAGTCCACTATCCACTGGCAGCCGGTGACCGGAGTCCGGTTCATACACCTTTTTGAATGGGGCCAGACACTCAGGGTATCCAATAAGCCCTTTGTCCATACGTCTTCCGGTGAGCTCCGGTGAGCTTCATACGCCAGTCGTTGGAGGTTTGGAATCAGGGCTTAGCCATCTCCCCTAGACTGTCATCCAATGGACAGTCAACCCGGTGAAGAGCGACGGGCATCCGCTTTTGCCCTCACTTTGGTGAAAAAACACCTCCGCCACGTGAAGGCAGTGAGTAGGACTTCCTCAGGGGAGGCTATGTAAGACGCACGGTCATATGGGAGCATTTCGAGAGGTGTACGGAGGGGTGGCCAACCCGCAGCGCAAGACACCCACCCCCGACCATCCTGAGGCTTTGGAGGCATCAATATCCTTGTAGTTGTTGGAAGAATGGGGAAAAATATATGTGACTTGTGTTTGCAGTATTTTAGTGGTTTCTAAGGAGACACCCAAAGCAAGTGAAGATGAGTAAGTAAAGAGTTGGACTTTGTACCAAGTGATACGTTTACTCAACTGTCATGAATTTTATCCATACGGTATAAATCTTTTAAAGGTCGTAAAAATTTATTTTTGGAAAAAACCAAAACAAAGTTAAGACATTCTTTTGATATTTTTTGGTGGTGTGTTATTAAAAAAAGTCAAGCAGTATAGTATAGTAAAGCAGTTATTGGTCGAATCATGTGACGTTTTATTTTTGAATACATTAGCTCCAATAAATGTGGATTTTTATAACTAGTGTTTTGGTTATTTTATTAGTCCAAAAAGTACGCTTAAAGTATGTTTAATGAATTATGTGCTTATGCGCCTTTTTTTCTGTTGTCTCCTCATATAAGGTTGACCAACGTCGCTGGCGTGTTGACGTAAATTCTGCTCTCCTGGCTAACTTAGCTTTGGCTAATGTGAAACTGCCTGGAGGCGAACTTCGTCGAAAATCGGAAGATGATGAACGAGCGATGAGATCTTTTATGAAGGTATATATTTTTCAGTTTTGTACTAGTAGTCACCGTAAATATCCTTGACCACATTTTTATTTTCCTAAGTTTTTTTTAACGCAAAATCCAGTATAATACATAATACAATGTGTTCAACGGTATTAGTAACCTGTCATTGATAAAGTAGATTCCGTAGGATTTAGTCGTTGTTAGTACTCACGGTCACAAGGAACAATGTTAAGTAAATACTGTATGGCATTAACGATTATAAAAACTCATTGCATTTACTTGCATTCGAGTAGATTTCAGCAACAAAAAGATCTAGTGATAGTACCCATTATCGACCTTTTTGAATTCTAATATTGTTACTACGGGAGAAATAACCTAGTGGCCTGTCTCCTAATCATTCCTGCCTTTCTAGGCGAAAAAAGTGTCACTCTGGTTCATGTTATCCCTTATTAAACAGCTATTTCCTAGAGTTATCTATGAATCTTCAGTACTATAAGTTCAGCTCGTAGGTGACCAACGTTATGATGGCGTAAAACTTTTCATTGTGTTACATCAGCTGCTTAAGGTCAATAAAGTACAGAAAACAGATAAGTCAGATTAGCGAAGATGTTCAGAGTCTGACAAGTGATATGATATAGATATGTCGGCTCTGTTATGAAAGATTTTCATACTTTTCTGTGCGTCGGTGGCACAGTGGTTAGGACTCTCGCCGACCATGCACGTGGTCCGGGGTTCGAGCCCACGCCGACGCACACCTGATATCTATGGTCGGCCTGCGAAACTTGGGCTACCGATATCCACGCTGAGAATTCCATACTTGTACCAAAAATACAGTGTGGAATCAAGCTGTTATCAAAAATAAAAAAATAAAATAAAATAAAAAATATTTATATGCAGTTATTCTCAAGATCCTGAAAATCCCAACCGACCAACTCATTTATGTGGTTTAATGCAACAGTAGCTTCACAAACTGATACCATGGTTTGACCTCACTACTCGTAACATATTCTTTGTCTAATTCTGTTTCCGCTAAAATCGCTCCCTGAGAATGGGGGTGGCCTCTGTGTGCGACTAAAATGTATATGTGTCCATGTATGCCATAAATCTCGGATATGTCTTGCCCCTAATTCATTTATGCGTTTACCCTAACTATGAGTATTTCAGAAGTCAGGTAGTAGCATTATCTGTCACGCAATAGGTGTACCTCATAACTTGATATGCGAGAGTGTGGTTTTTAAATTTCTAGTCCCTCATAATCGAGTTATTTCGGTATCTTGCTACACTTTGAGAAAAACTAGTATTCTGATCCTATTTGTATTTGTGTGAGGCTGAAATAGTGTTGTAGTAAAGTAATAAAGATGTATTTTACTGTCTCTCTTGTTTTGTAGTAATAAATAGTAGAAACCTTATACTTATGTACGACTGGTTATTTCATATTGTAAGGAGAGATGTACAAAATATACCGTATGTAACTGTCAGGATCCATAATTATGATACAGAATTTAACTTTCTCGTAGGATTTCATTCCTTTGTATTTCGGGTGGGACATAAGGCTTCAGATGTTGAGCTTTGAAGTTTCAGTAGCTCTGGTGTTATTCTGTTTTGTGGGGTGAGGTTTCTAGCCTCTGCCCAAACTCCCGTCTTTCCCGGTCTTACTACCGGTTAAGGAAGGTTTATAAGAGTGTGTTGGTCAAGATTTGAACCCCGGATCACGTGCTTGGTTGGCGAGCATTCTATCACTGAACCACTGACGCACACTGGTGCGGAACTACTTTGATGAAACAATAAGATGTGATTATCCTAAGACATGTGATGTATTTGCACCAAACATTTCGGGCATTCTGATCACACACGTACATGTCATACTCATCTGTATAGAAGGTGACAGAGCATAAGGAATAACAATTTTGCCAATCTGGGTCAGTGTTGACTGGTCACGATCAGAGATGAGAGAGCAAAATGAGTTAAGAAAAGAGGATAGAAATTTTTTTGTGTAAAATGAACCTTGGTTTTACAAATGGAATACCAAGTCAGGTTTAAAATAATGATCATAATGGAAAATTTTCAAACGCGCAAAACAGGTTTAGACCTTTTTATGGCTATGGCTTCGACGAATATGAACCAAAATCATCTTATGTATGGGTTTAAAGACACTATAAGAATCAATTATTTGACCCATCTCTATGGTGTACTTCTCAATAGATGACGTTAGGGGCATCTATATACAGGGCCACTTGAGTTGGATGATATCATTTGCTTCTACAGACACTCGGGAGTGTATTCGACAGCTCTAACCAGTAGAGATTGATGAGTCCTCCTTATATTTCTATACTTGTCCAATTTTTGTAACGGTTTACAGAATAAAATGAATCTTGTTTTTCCTATGAAAAGGAGCTTAGCTGCGTAGTACGTGTTGGAGTCTTTGCTGAGTGACCAGACTTTGTCGATCACACCTGAACGGCAAAGTTACCTAAGTTACCCCCCTTTTGGAGCTGACTGTACTGGTAGAACCCTTTGATTTGTGTTCCTTTATCGTTTAATGAATTTCAGAGGATTGTTATTATCTAGTAGTCTTTTCATAATGTATCCTATTTCTTCAATGGTATCTTATGTATGTATGTGCTGAATGCGTCTTGACACATTTGACTAACACTCTTTTATGCTGGAGTAAACAGAAACTATGGTAGCTTGGATACTGTCCCATTCAGGTCGGCTTCCTGTAGACAAGTCTTATTGACCCATTATGTCGGCGAGTTATCAGTAGACATGAAAATGGCAAACAGTCATTATTTTCTTTCACATATATATCAACGACATACTTTTTCTATTGTATTTGTTCGAATAAGGATTTCCGTGGCATCCGTCAGCTTGTCATAGATAACTATGATATCTTTGATTGGACACTGGTTAGTAACTAGTGTAGTGTGACTAGTCCCTTGTTTAGTCCAGACTGAATTGTCAGTCAAGTTCGTAATGTGCCCAGCAGTCTAGGTGTCTCACCATCACGTTGCACTCTGAATTGTTATTATTAGATGGTCGAATAGTGGCTGCGTCGCAAACTTGACTGACAGAATTCAGTCTGCACGAATCACCGAACTCGACGCATGATACTAGTTGGTGTCCAATCAAAGATGCGTTATGTTCATTAAGTGTTAAATAAAAACATTCGTGTTGATTGGCTTTTGTACTGAAATACAATCAGACTGTTTTCATGTAATAACTGAATTATTCTAAAGTTTTGAAGAATATAATACGTAAGTTTTCCTCAAAACAGAAATACATGTAACTATTAATTCAGTAGCATAAAAGGGGTTGTTTGTGACTGCAGCACTTGGTGACACTGGTTCGAATCTCAGAAGGGACATGAGTTCCTTCAAGGTTACAGATACGGCTTGCTGACGAGTGCCAGCTTGCCTGAAACCTAGGTCCAAGACTTCCCACGAATTGCTTTCAATCATCGAATAACTGATATCGCACACTCATCCCCCCATAAAAATAAACTTTTTCAATCTTCTTCAAGTAGATACTTTAAATGGGATATTGATTGTATTACAAAGTTTTTGTTTTCCTTCACGCGTTCCCAGTGGAACATAGGGTTTCAAGCTGGAGGCTTGAAGTTTCTGTAGCGGTGGTGTTTATTTTTACAGGATGAGGTTGCTAGCCTCATGCCTAACCTTCTCTCTTTACCAGCTTTATAACTGGCTTAGCGAGGTAAAGGAGGAGTGCGTCGGTGGCCGGAGGATCGAACTCCGGACCATGTACATGGTCGGCAAGCGTGGTATGCCGCGCTATGCCACCGAGGTGTATCTGTATGAAATTAAGATAAGAGAAAGAAGTTTATAAAAGCATCCAAGACTATTACGGAATGTGTAAGAAAAGAAACCTTGGTATAAAAAGGAAAAAAATAATAATAACAATAAGAATAGGTAGTTGAAGATGTGATATTCTATATAATTGAAATTGATTTATTCACCTAAATCATTCATTCATTCATTAGGGTGGTATCGGTGATAAAGTTGGCATTGGACGAGTATCTGTTGATGAACGACTTCGTAAAAAACTCCATTTTTTATATGAAGTTGATATACTAGGCGGTGATACTGGAACTGATGTTGCTGGTGTTGTTGGTGTTTTACTGGTCATCGAACTAGTAGTAGTAATAATTTGACTATGACGATGTGATGGTGAATGCATAACACCATCAATTGATTCATTTGGTCTTGGTGTTGTATACCATCGACCACTTGGTGGTAATAGATAAGCACAATGCTTTATTAATAATTCAATTAATGCGTGTTCAAATAGTGTACCAGCTAAACAGCTTATAGGGTCTGTATACGATGAACTTAATAATGTTGGAGATAAAACAATAGCTAAGTTAGGAGTAGTCATCATATTGATTTCTTGCTTTTCAGCTACCCTGTGTATATGATTGTATTACAAAGTGATATCTGAAAAATACCGAGTCTAGGTTGTTCATACGGGATGCTTTATGTATTGCGATCAACAGCCGGCACTAGGCATTATTCATATAAGGTGGCGAAATTCTTATCAATTCATCAGTGATTGAAAAGCATGAAATACACCTGAGACTTTGAAGTAAGTTTGAGCGATATACTGTTCAGTGTTGACAACTGTCTGGCGCACTCTACATTTCAGCGAGTTTCTAGTTACAGTTGTCATTAAAATGTTACATTTTCATCCCACACATTTTTAATGATTGTCTTTGTAGGAGGGTGATCTTATTGTTGCTGAAGTCCACGAAGTTTACAAAGATGGTACATTACAACTTCATATGCCAGGTACTAGGACTGGTAAATTGGGAGGTGGTTGCTTGTTGCATATTCCACCAAGTCTTATCAAACGACAGAAAATTCATAGACATCGTTTAGCAGTTCCACGAACTAATACACTAGACAGTTGTTTAACATCAGGATCAGATGAAGTTATTTCTGTTGGTCTTATTCTTGGCTGTAATGGATATGCTTGGACAGGTCCTGCAAGAGCTATGGATATTGGTCTTGGTTTATCAGCACCAGTTGAAGTAGATGAAAGTATGTCTAATCAAACTGAATTGTTAGCTGAACGTATTGCAGTTTGTCGTGTACGCAATTGTATATTGGCGTTGACACATAATGGTATGCCAGTATGGGAAACAAGTGTGCTTAGTGCATGTGAAGCCAGTTGGTTAGCTGATCAACAAAATGAAGATGAGGACGATGAATATCAAATGGAATTTGAGACTGATATCAGCAGTAGCCTTTCAGGTAACAAAGTTCATAATCGTATTGCACGTCTTCTTCATCCAGAAGTTGCTCATCGTCTTGTTTCTCTTGTACAAGCTAAACTGAAGTCGAACTATTAATTCTATACAGACCAGAAAAAAAAGATATTTTGTACATAAAAGGCTTATATTTTTAATTATTTTATTTACTTGTCTGCTTTATTTGATGGATTTTCTACTGTTATATCTATGTTATTTGTTAACGTTTGCAAACGTGTCCTGATGATTCAATTTGTATAATATCTGTAGTATAAAGTGCTTAGAGGTGTGATCTTAACATTTTCACTTTTGACGTTCATTAGGGACTCAGTTTTTCGTTAGTTAATCATGCTGACTCAAATCTTGATGGTTTCTTACGATATTAAGAATTTGATTGGAGAGACTACTGAACAATTCTCTGGTTCCTGTTAGAATGATAGTGCAACTTGATCAATTTTATTTATAAGCATAGGAATGCTAATACATGTGTATTGTGTTGACAATATTTCAAAGATAGTCCACTGGATGGATTTTAGACACATACAAAGTAATGGCAACGCTTGAGACAACAATGTTCATTCTTGTAACATAAGTGGCCTCTACGAAAGCATGGCATACAGTTACCTTCAGGCCCGTGTAACCATTCACACACTAATCTTCCACAGCACTGGTTGTATGGATGAAATGTACACGTTTCAGAGATTTGTTTGCAAGAACCTAAATACATTTCAGAAAGCATACAAGTTTTCTTCGTTAATTGGTAGCTTTTATATCTTGAGTGTATTGAATTAAATAAAATCAAATAGAACTTTATAAGGATTAATATAATTATCAAGAATCAGGGTAACACACACTGCTAATTCCAAGTTAGGGAATGTTGTTCACATATCTACGGAAAATTCATTAAAGAATGGATAAGGAGCCTTTCACTCATCATATTTTCTTACCTTCTCTGCAACCGTATTCAAGCTAAAACATATGGATTCTGAAAAACAGTTGTTGCATGAGGGTTTGTATATTCTAGTTTACTACCTACTTCTGTGGTATGATGACTTATGATATAATCCGGTCACTCAAGTCATATTAGGCAAGTTCGGATTTCTATCATGCATCCTGAAGTTGTTATGAAAAGTGGTGGCCTGCGAGACTTACCATTTGTCGGTTGTGAAGTGGATACTCATATTATTATTGTTATTATTATTATTATTATTATGTCCTTTAATTCCTAGAGGAACATAGGGCTTCAGCTGCGCGTCTCCATTGCCTTCGGTTTTCTGCCAACTTTTTCACCCCGCTCCAAGTCTGCCCACATGCTTTCATCTCCTCTTCACATGACCTCCTCCAAGTCACCCTCACACTGACGACCCACTCGCCGCTTTCCTTTCGGGTTCCACTCGAGCGATGGCTTGTCTAGTGATGTCACTTGATGTTTTGTTTCCTCAGCGTATGGACAATCCATCTCCATTTCTTCCTGCCTGTTTGTTTCCGTATAGTAGCACTGACTTCACATTGGAGTTGAAGATCCGGATCTTATTTTTGATGCTGAGTGATGTTGACCTCCACACAGATTTGAGAGTAATGAAAGCTTGTTTTGCTTTACCGATTCTAGCTTTGATATCCTCGTCAGTTCCGTCTGTAGTTGAAACGATGCTTCCCAGGTAGGTGGGTAAGTGAAGGAGGTTGTTTCTTTCAGGTTCCTCCCATTTATGCTGGCTGATTGTTGTCTGTTGTTGTTGATGTTGGTGTTGGCCAGGAATCTTCATCACCTCTGTTTTATCTATGTTCACTTGAAGTCCTATCTTTGATGCTTCTTCTTTGGTCAGCTTGTTGATTTTCGCTTGCATATCTTCCAGTTTGTGGGAAATCAGACATATATATGTCATCGGCGAAGTCCAGATCCTCCAAGTTCTTGTTTTGTGTGAGTCCATTTTATGCCTGTTTCCTCATTGCGCGTTGTTTGTCGAATTATCCAATCTACTGTAGTAGCGGTTACTACTGATGAATTCTGAAACTGAATGTTTCATAAAAAATCTGTTTACATTGACTTTCTACTAAAAATTAATCGTTTGCAGGAATTTGATTGGTTACATTTGATAATTAATCTGTTGGGACTGGCCCTATACCGGAGGTTACCTGGGGTTCTTGTGAGAAGTTATAACCGTTGGTGTCGACATAGTCAGGGAAGAGGACATTTACTTGCCTATCACACTGGCTGGCGGTTGCGCCTTATATGTATATCACGAATTGGCAGAAGTAAGAATTTATAGACCATTGGACCGGGTCTGGATGGGCTACGAGCTCGCCTTGTAACCGGGAGGTGCTGGGTTCGAACCCCGGTGCGTGCGTCCTGACGACGAGTCCCAATCTAGGACGAAACAGCTGTACAGTACTTCCAGGCTTTCCAAGGGTTCTCTAACTGATGTCAGCTTCTGATCGATCCTGTAAAAATAATCCGTCTTTAAGTATTAGTAGCTGCCTATTTTTTTCCTTTACGTTCCCCAGTGGAACATAGGGCTCCAAGCTAGTGGCTTGAAGTTTCTGAAGCAGTGTTTATTTTACAGGATGAGGTGGCTAGCCTCATGCCCAACCTTTCCTCTTTACCAACCTTATTTCTGGCTTAGCGAGGTAAAGGAGTGCGCCGGCCATGTCCATGGTCGGCGAGTGTCCTAACCGCTATACCACCGACGCTGCCTTTGGAACGGAAAATTCAACATGTGATATCAATGCCTGCCAGTGAATATTTAGCTTTGCACCCAAAACATGAAGACTGTAAAATTCATCTATCGCATCTTTCATAAAAGCACAGTTTCAGTATTCTTGTTAGTCCTTTCGTCGTTTATTTTGCAATTTGTTATCATCATACGCAATCCATGCTGTGTAAATTGAATCAGAAAATATAAACTACTTAAAAGTTTTCTAAGTAGATCTCTTTTCTGTGAAAAATATTTCATTTGTAAAATGTTGCTTTTGGACTAACTATAACAAGAATTCGAAGCTGATCAATGCAAACCAAAAAGTAACACGAGTGTAAAGTTCTACACACTTCCATGATATACGGGTAAGACTTACTAAACTGTGTGTTCCAGTGATTATTGAGAAATGAAATTTGACTAGCCCCTTGATGACTAGCGTATCCGTTCGAAGCAAAAGCTCTTTTAACTTTAGTCTGTTCATGTCGTCCGAAGGAAACAACTTACTGTTACTATAGGCTTATTCTCCAGGAGTACAACTTCGTTTCCAGACCTTCAACATAGTGGGGATGACTTACACTATGATGGTGACTGATTTAGTCCAACCGCTACCCAAAAGACGTTTTTGGCATGGTAAGACCTGTAGGAACATTCATTTTAGTCTGGGTAGCTCTTTAGGCCATTACCATATGCAAGCGCAACCACCACGTGAAGTTAGTACTCATCGGTTAGGGTCAAATGACGCCTTCACTTCAAGAAATATGGCAAGTATTAGACGTCGGTGAGGATGCATGTGATCAAGAATGTCTCGATAAGTGAAGATATGATCAATTCACACTCTTCCTGGCCTAAAGCCTAACTGGTCTTCCAGAGTCTATGAAGAGTTGTCATATGAAGTGATGACAACCAGTGATGTCCGTCAGGGATATCTATTGTCGTCATTTTCGTCTAATTTCATCATAGATATACTATAGGCATACTGTTCTCAGCTGGCAAATATATGAGAATGCTTCAGGATTGAAGCTCCGTTTGAAGCTCAGGAGTTAAGTAGTTTTGCTTGTTGACCATTTCACTTATTTGGGGAGTTTCATCAGTCATTAAGAAAGGAAGATGTTAAGAGGCTAGCTGTCTCTGACCACAGATATTTACGTTCTATTTCCTGTATTAAGTGTCGCGATATGGCGTGTAATTTTGAGGTTGTCAAGGTGAACTGATTGATATGGTTAGGACCTATGTTGCTCAAGCCCTCGCCTCTATCATCGAGCTGTGTTAGCTGACAAAGAATTAGGTTGGAAAAAGAGTTAGTCAGTTCCGATGAACTAAAGGATGACCTGTACCAGAAACTGTCTAATTTGCTGCAAAAAGCAAAACGCTCAGTTGTTTTAGGAGGTGACTTCAATGACCAAGTAGGTAAGTTAGGCCAGACTGAGAAGTATGTAGGTGGTACATATGGAGTTCCCTGCCGACGAACAGACAACGGTGTTCGTCTTCTACAGTTTTTTACAGACAATCATCTTTTCCTAGTCAGAACGCTCGTGTCGCATATGTCAGTCCACGCCGTCTCTGGCGCGGACATGATATCTGGCTGTCTACCAAAGGACGCGCGTACTGCTCAGCAGTTCGCTCCGTACTCCTTTATGGCTGTGAGACATGACCATTGAAATTGGAACATGCAACCAGGCTGTCTGTCTTTGATCACAACTGTCTGCGTTCTATCTTTCGTGTGTGTTAGGTGTAATAGGGTGAGCAATATTGAGGTGGCATAGCGATTAGGACGCTCCCCGACCGTGCACATGGTCCGGGGTTCGATCCCTGGCCGACGCACTCCTTTACCTCGCTAAGCCAGAAATAAGGTTGGTAAAGAGGAAAGGTTGGGCATGAGGCTAGCCACCTCATCCTGTAAAATAAACACTGCTTCAGAAACTTCAAGCCACTAGCTTGGAGCCCTATGTTCCACTGGGGAACGTGAAGGAAAGAAAAAAATATTGAGGTTAGGCGTCGAGTGCTAAGTAAGGAGGGGAAATCAATAGATAAGGTTGTGAAGTTATACCGACTGAGATGGTCAGGACGTGTGTTACGTATGCCTAGCTATCGCCTTCCTCGACAACGGGCAGTGTTAGCCGACTGAAATAGGGACATGCTAAAAAAGAGCCAGTGGTGGTCAAACCAAAACATGGCTTCATCAGTCAATGAAATCCACAACAGTTACCTTAAGCCAGTCTCGTAGGAATGTGTAGATATCCTGGTTAGTCGGGATCCTTGGAACGGTAAACACCAATGGCTGGAGACAATTGGTGATATGGCTCAAAATCGTTCCCAATGGCTTGTGCAGATGCATCCACTCCTTGTGACTTATAGTATCCAATAAAACATTGTTATTCGATATTACTATTCTTTTTGCGTCATATCCCTGTTTACTGTCTCTATTTTCCATTTCTTTCTACTTTTTTCTCTTGCTTTGTGTGCTACATGGAGTGGGACGACTTGAACTGCCGCACATATGTGCAAAGCTCTGTGTTGAAAGCAGTCAGTCAGTCAGTAGTAGTGGTCAAATGGAAACCTGGTATCATCAATCCATGAAGTTTCTGACTCTTTGTTTGAGCTACTTATGGGGATGTGTTTTATAGATGTCTGAATGAATATTTTTGCAATAAAATATTAGTCGAAAGCATTTGAAACAATATGGATCAATATAATCCAATAGAATCAAAGTTCAGGGATGTGATTTAATGGTGGATAACAGTAGAGATAATAATAATAAATTGTGAAACTAAGATAAAAATAGTATGCAACTATAGCGCAGTGTGATGCTGATAAGAAAGAAAAATAGTATTTACAATTATCTCGTGCCATCGGCAGCGATAACAATTCAAGGTTGTGGTTGAAGACCTTTGGAGTAAGGGCAATTGAACAAACTTTCTCCGACCGCAGAGATTGGTTGGAAAACTTTTAAGGCAAGTGCTTCAGTTATGATTGCGAATCGAAGGCGTAAAATCCTACAGAAGCCATCTGGCGCCTTGTATAGAATTGTAAAGGCTGAATTATCATCGGTGTGCTATGATCTGTATCCACTAGATCTATCAGTATAGAGGTCCTGATTGACTTTACTACTCCTTTATCTAACCACCTTAAACGCTGCTCAGAAATATCACTTGAGGCATTCCTATCAATTTCGAAAGTATTTAGCTATACAGATAACATAATTCAGGGAGAGAGAGAGAGGTATTCGTATTTCGCAGGACTGACTCTTCAGTTATGTCACTGATCAATGTTTTATCCATTCATATATCTTTAAATATATTCATGGATAATCCCCATCCAGGCATTAATGAAAACAAAACACGTAGATCAGCGAAGAGTCTGTTTTCGGCGAATTCATTTTCTTAGCTGTACACTCGCAAATATATATATATATATATATATATTGTATGTATGTGTACATTAAGT